CATTGTATCTAAAACATGGCACTTCACATTTGCCTTTAAAATTTAAAAAAAGTTAGGGTCTAGGCTATCTTCTTAAAATATTTTGAGGGGGTCTAGTCTGGTCCATAACATATTTATGTACCACTTTCTTTATTCAGGTAATTTTTGTTCAACTAAGTGAATCTGTTATGCTAATATAATTTATATATCATCTTTAACTTTGTAAAACTTTCCCAGGGGTGTAATAAATCAAATATTGCCACAGAACTAAAAGAGATCACGACAGATGACCAAAATGTTGTTGAACAGCTGGGTTTTTGGGAGTCTCTTGGTGGAATATTTGGGAAAATCATTCTAGAGTTTAGGGCAGCTGAAGGCATGCCCTTTAATGATTAGCTGAATGAAGCCAGAATGGAAAAGGAGTTACAGTTGAGGAATGCAAAGTTCTTGGAACGCTATCTAATTGGAGACAGTTGCAGAGACATGAAGAAGTCAAAAACGGTTTTGGACATGAGGATAAGAATTTAACCTCAGCTGTGCAGTTGGATCCAGACAGGGTGGTCACTACATCAGTGATAGCATCCCTGCGTTTGGGTCAGAACATTTAGATCTCAGTTTCACATTCAACAGGGGCATTTCCATCATAAATGAGAAGTAAGGTTCACAAAATAATTACGTAAGTTCATAAGTGATTGAAGCAGGAGTAGTCCATTCGGCCCATCAAGCTGCTCTGCCATTCAGTAAGATCATGGCTGATCTATCCGTGGTCTCAGCACCTCCCACCTGCTTATTCCCGTAAGCATTAACTCCCTACCATGCAAAAATCTATCCAACTGTGTCTTAAATATATTTAATAAGCGGCCTCTACTGCTTCCTTGGGCAGAGAATTCCATAGATTCACCACTCTCTGGGTAAAGCAGTTCCTCCTCATCTCTGTCCTAAATCTACTTCCCCTATGCTTGAGGCTATGTTCCCGAGTCCTAGTCTCTCCCACCAGTGGAAACAACTTGCCTCCCTCTATCTTATCTATCCCTTTCATGATTTTATATGTTTCTCTAAGATCCACTCTCATTCTTCTAAATTCTAGTGAGTACAATCCCAGGTGGCTCAACCCCTCCTCATAGGGTAACCACCTCATCTCCAGAATCAGCCTAGTGAACCTACTCTGCACCACCCCCAAAGCCAATGTATCCTTCCTCAAGCACGGAGACCAGAACTGTGCACAATATTCCAGGTGCGGCCTCAGCAGCACCTTGTACAATTGTAGCAGAACATTCCTGTTCTTAAATTCAATCCCTCTAGCAATAAAAGTCAACATTCCGTTTACTGTCCTCATTATCTGTTGCACCTGTACACCAACTTTTAGCGATTCATGTACAAGCACTCCTAAGTCTCTCTGCACAACAGCTTGCTGCAATCTTTCACCATTTAAATAATAATCTGATCTACTATTTTTACTTCCAGAGTGGATGATCTCACATTTACCAACATTGTATTCCATCTAAGGTTCTTGAGTAGATTTGTGGCTCAGGTTGTGGATGCTGTGGTTGGTTCGATCACCGAGCTGGTTCGTTAGTTCGTGAGTAACATCATCAGTGCAGCCTGTGATGAAGCACTGTTGTGTTTTCCCGCCTGGTATTTAAATTCTGGGGTCCGTTGGAGTTGATTACCTCATTTCCAGTTTTTCTTCGCAGTGGTGTATATATAGGGTCTAATTCTATGTTTTTATTGATAACCTTTTTGGTGGAGAACAAGGCCTTTATAAATTTAGAAATAGAAATCTAGAATATATAATTTCTAGAGGCTTGGTTCTCCACCAAGAAGGCCATCAATAAACACATAAAATTAGACCCTATCTATAAATTTCTAGAGGCCTGGTTCTCCACCAAGAAGGCTATCAATAAACACTTCAAGTTAGAACTTATATATACACCACTGCGAAGAAAAACCGGAAATGACGTAATCAACTCCAATGGATGTTGAGGTTGGTTGGCTCGCCGAGCTGGTTTGTTGTTTTGCAGATATTTCATTGCCATGCTTGGTAACATCCTCAGAAAACAACAAACCAGCTCGGCGAGCCAACCAACCTCAACACCCACAACCCGAGCTACAGATCTACTCAAAAACCTTAGACATCTCCAATGGACCCCAGCGTTTAAATACGAGGCGGGAAAACACAACGTTACATCTTCGGAGACTGCACTGATGATGTTACCCAGCGGAGTAATGAAACTTCTGCGAATTAACAAACCAGCTCAGCAAGCAAACCAACCACAGCATTGTATTCCATCTGCCAGACCCTTGCCCAATCACTTAACCTGTCCAAATCTCTCTGCAGACTCTCCACATCCTTTGCAATGTTTGCCTTTCCACTCAATTTAGTGTCTTCAGCAAACTTAGATATGTTACACTCAGTCTTCTCTTCCACATCATTTACATATATCATGAACAGTTGTCGGCCCAACACTCACCCCTGGGGTACTCTGTTCACCCCTGATCTCCAACCAGAGAAACACCCATTTATCCCAACTCTCTTCCTTCTATTGGTTAACCAGTCCATGCTAAGACATTCCTCACAACTTATCTTGCGTTCTTATCTTACGGATGAGTCTTTTATGTGGAATCTGATTGAACGCTTTCTGGAAATTAGATGAGTGGTGGTGAGTTTAACCTGAGGATCACCCCATCTCAAGGGTGAATTTCAGAAGGTGGGACCTTCAATGGTAGCCTCTGCTGGTGTGGGAATTGAACCTGTGCTGTTGGCATCACTCAGCTTTGCAATCAAACCATCAAAGCCATCCAACTAATTGTCCTTGCCTTCTAGTACAGAAGGAGTCATTTCACACCACCAGTTCTGCAGCAGCTCTGAATGAGCACCATACCTTGATGCTATTCTCCTTCCCTTTCCCCATAAGTGAGCTCATTGGCCCAGATTTTCAGCTGTCCAGATAGTCGTTATGCCTGTGGGTCTCTCATCATAGCACAAAATTTAATTCAAGGGGTTTGAGAAGATTTGTAGCTCGGGTTGTTGATGTGGTTGTTGACTTGCCCACTGAGCTGGTAAGTTTGTTCACAAATGTTTTGTCACCATGCTAGGTAACATCATCTGTGCACCTTGGTGAAGCTTTGGTGTTCTGTCACATTTGCTATTTGTATGTCTTGGCATGGTTGGCATCACTTCCGGATTTGTTTCTTATTGGTTGGTATATGGGGTCCAGCTCAGTATGTTTGTTAATGGAGTTCCAGTTTGAGTGCCAGGCCTCCAGGAATTCTCGTGTGTGTCTTTGCTTGGCTTGTCCCGGGACGGCTATGTTGTTCCAGTCAAATTGGTGTCCTCTTTGTCCTTGTGTATTGAAATGAGTGATAGTTGGTGCTCATGGATCCTGATGCCTAGTTTCTATCTGGTTTGCCCTATGTAATGTTTTTGGCAGTCTGCATGGTATCTTCTAAATGATGTTGGTTCTGTTAGTTCTGTTGTGGGATCCTTTATTGTTGCCAGTAGCTGACCTAGTGTAGTAAGCTCCAGACCAGCATACACAGGAAAACCACCCATACTGAGTGGGCAAAGGTCTGGCAGATGGAATACAATGTAAATAAATGTGAAGTCATACATTTTGGTAGGAGTAATAGTAACAAGGATTATTACTTGAATGGTAAAAAGTTGCAGCATGCTGCTATGCAGAGGGACCTGGGTGTCCTTGTGCATGAATCACAGAAGGTAGGTCTGCAGGTACAACAAGTAATTAGGAAGGCAAATGGAATTTTGTCCTTCATTGCTAAAGGGATTGAAATAAAAAGCAGAGAGGTTATGTTGCAGCTGTACAAGGTGCTGGTGAGGCCACACCTGGAGTACTGTGTGCAGTTTTAGTCTCCTTACTTGAGAAAGGATGTACTGGCACTGGAGGGGGTGCAAAGGAGGTTCACTAGGTTGATTCCAGAGTTGAGGGGGTTGGTTTATGAGGAGAGACTGAGTAGATTGGGATTATATTCATTGGAATTCAGAAGATTGAGGGGGGATCTTATAGAAACATATAAAATTATGAAGGGAATAGATAAGATAGAAGTAGAGAGGATGTTTCCACTGGCAGGTGAAGCTAGGACAAGAGGGCATAGCCTCAAGATTAGAGAGAGCAGATTTAGGACTGAACTGAGAAGGAATTTCTTCACCCAGAGGGTTGTTAATCTGTGGAATTCCTTGCCCAGTGAAGTAGTTGACGCTACTTCAGTAAATGTTTTTTTAAAAAAAAGGTAGATTTTTTTTAACAATAAAGGAATTAAGGGATACGGTGAGAACGCGGGTAAGTGGATCTGAGTCCACGAAAGGATCAGCCATGATTTTATTGAATGGCGGAGCAGGCTCGAAGGGCCAGAAGGCCTACTCCTGCTCCTAGTTCTTATGTTCTTATGTACTCAACTACAATAGCAATCTATTAACTAACATGTAGAGCTGGACCCCATAAACCAACCACTAAGAAATAAATCTGGAAGTGATTCCAGCCACCCCAACAAACCAAGACCCATAAGTAGCAAGCAGGACAGAACACCGACGCTTCACCACGACGCACTGATGATGTTACCAGTTGGGTGACGAAACGTTTGCCAACGAATTTACCAACTCGGCGGGCGAAAAAGTCAACTACCGCACGAAATTTAATTTTCCACCGGCCAGTTTCGAAATGCTTGCAACCATCCGTAAAGTCTCTGTTTAAATTGGAAACGCAGATGGTTCCGATGAAATTAAGTACAGTAGTTACTCGGAAAAGTTACGTAAATTTATAGATTAACGAGTATTTATTAAAATTAACCCGTGCTTACCTCGGAGACACCTAGTTACACCTCGCCCGAGAGACACTTTACGCCCCATTTCCTCCTGGACACGACCTCCCCAGTCAAAACCCCCTCTGAGTCGGGACCTGCCCTACCTATAGATTCAGTTGTGTACCTTTTAATGAAGTGTGACTGATCGTGTTCGTTAGATCTTCATAACGTCGCTGGTTTACGAAATGTATAATGGAATGAAATGAGTTAAACGTTTTATTCAAATTTATTTCGTTGAATGTAAGTATTTGCAAAATATGTAAACAAATATGTTGTCCCACGCCCAGTACTTTATATATAGCCTTCCTTTAACTACAGTAAAACAAAGAACTCCGGATGCTGGAGATCTGAAACAGAAACAGAAAGTGCTGCAGGAATGCGGCAAATGGAGCCGGCAAACAAAACAAACGCTTCCTTCCCCTCCCTCAGAACATTTAATCTTTTAAGTAAACTGTCCTGGCATTGCAGAAAGTCTGCAGGACACGACAGTAGTCAATAAGTCAGTAAAGTACAAAAAAGAGCGAAATACAGTTGAAATTATTGCGCGATGCATTACAGGTATTCCCGAAGGATCAAAATAGATGATTCAATTCCGAGTTGTTTACAACTTCACAGTTCCTCTGTTCGGGGACAGAGAGATCTGCGGATCTCCTCCGCTTTATCTCGGGGCAGATACACTTTGCGGAATCTTTGACTCTTCTCCATTTCGCAGACAGTGAGGTGTTTACACTCCAGAGGGATCGGGAACTCCGGTTTCTCATCTGGCAAGTAGAAAGCAAAGCTCAGATACTCCCAGGAACGAGCGTCTGGGTAACAATCATTGACCGTCCAATTCCCATTGCCGTCCTCCTTGAGCTCTCGGATTTCAGAACCTGTGGATTCTGGTCTCCATATCCATTTGGTACCTTCCCGGGAAATCACTTTAGAAGGGAGGGGAGGGCATTGCTCGAATATCTTGACACAGGGAGGGTAGACAGCCACAGTGTGCATCAACTCGAGATCATATCTGAAAGTTCCCAATACTCTGAACTCGGGATTTTTTCCCTGACAGACTGATTTCTTATATTCATCGATTAGATCATTGATATTGTAGGTGAATTTGAAATTACCGTAATTGGATACTTCCAGAAAAGCGGGAGAGCTGATATATTGCTTCAACAGGGCGTCCAGCAAATCCCCCACATCTCGGGGCTGCTTTCCTGTTTTTTCTGTTAGCCACTTTTCCGTGTCTTCTTTGTATTTCTCCTTCTGTTTCTCTTTTCCCCTTTGGTTCGCTTCGACATGCCACCACGAGAACCTGACGCTCAAATTTTCTCCTATTTTCTTTTCGTTAGCTTTCTTCATGCATTGGTCAGCGAGGATACCTTTGACTCCAGCGGAGTCAGTGACATGGGTAACGTTTGTGATGAAGAATGAGCTTCGTTCGCTATCTTGGAGATCATTAATTTTTACACCAGGTAAAGCGGAGTCGGGAAAAGTGAAGACTCTGCCCCATTGTTTGTGACTCACATGTTTCAGGGGGTAGAAATCTTCAGGACCTCCGTACCCCACTCTAATCCGATGCCATTTCTGGGCAGTGTACATGGCTTTCTCCAGCTGAGGAGATAAAATGGAAAGTATGGAACAGAGGAACATACACGAGTGGTCGAATGCCTCACGTCTGCTCGGTTCGAATCTCTTCCCATTTGAAAGTCAACTCCAACAGCAATCCTAATATAGTTGGGAAATGTGGGCGGAGCCAAGCAATTTTTATGACCCTACCACAAGCTAATGAAGATGTCCTTAAATGGCATCTTCTTTCACAAATAATTGCCAATTAACAATAGGATTCTTCTGAGTAATGTTCAGCTGGTTAAAATTTAGAATATCGAGTTCTTCTCACATGATTTTTGATAAGGATATTAATGTTAGTCTTTCCTTTGTAGCTAGCAAGTCGCTGAATATTTTTCCCTGAGATAGTAGGAACTGCAGATGCTGGAGAATCCGAGACAACAAGGTGCAGGGCTGGATGAACACAGCAGGCCAAGCAGCATCATAGGAGCAGAGAGGCTGACGTTTCGGGCCTAGACCCTTCATTTCCCTGCTGCTTTCCCTTTTGCGCTTGATCCTTCATATAGAGCAAGTTCTGCATCTGCCATTTAATACACTATTTTTATCGTGAGCATGCGCGTTTCCCGATTGGCGCTTACGCGTAGTTGCCCACAGTTGCGGGTGTCAGCAAACACTGCGTTTGAAAAATATTCACTTTTACATCACTTAAATGAAAAAAGAACTACGCACAGATCAAATTATACTCAGCTATTTATTTGTACTCCAGTTCGTTAAAAAGACAATCATTGATTAAAGCGACATTATTATCATTTATTTAACCCGTAACCTATCAACTCAAAATGGAATGCAACGTAATCAGATTTCCCCACATTCCCCGTTAGATCTTAATTTCAACATTACTTTAGTCCCGTTTCCAAAAACCAAAAGAAAGAATATTTAATGTAAGCGGTACAGATAAAAATGTCATATTTGGATACAGGCTGCTTACAGCTCTCCATTCGGGCAGCACCAGCGCCGGTAGAAATTCTCCGCTTCAGCCCGGCTCATGTATGTATTAGGCGGCCGAAAACGTTGACTCTCCTCCATTTCGCAGACACTGAGATGTTTACATTCCAGAGGGACCGGGAACTCCGGTTTCTCATCAGGCAGGTAGAAAGCAAAGCTCACGAATTCCCATCGCCGGCAGTCTGGATAACACTTATCGACCCACCAGTTCCCACTGTCGTTCTGCCTGAGCACTCGGACTTCAGCTCCTGTTGATTCCGGTCTCCATATCCATTTGGTACCTTCCCGGGAAATCACTTTAGAAGGGAGGGGAGGGCAGTGCTCGAATATCCTGACACCGGGAGGGTGGACTACCACAGTGTGCATGATTTCGATGTTATATCTGAAGGTTCCCAATACTCTGAATTCGGGATCTTTCCCCTGACAAACCGATTTTTTGTATTCATCGATTAGATCATTAATATTGTAAGTGAATTTGAAATTTCCGTAATTGGATTGTTCCAGGAAAGCGGGAGAGCTGATGTATTGCTCCAACAGGGCTTCCTGCAAAAATCTCACATTTTGGGGTAGAGGCTCCTGGATGGTGAGTCTGAGCTGTTTTTCCACAATGCTTCTCCTAACCTCCCTTTCCCTCTCCATTTTTTCCGGGCTTACTTGGACGCTCCACCACGAGAAGCGAACCTTGAGCTGTTCTCCAATCTGTTTAATGTTTGCTTTCTTCAAGCATTGATCGTTGAGAATACCTTGGGCTCCGTTTGAGTCGGTGACATGAATGAGATTAGTGATGGAGAACTTAGTGCCAATCCCCGGTTGGGGAACGCCGATATTTGTACTCAAGACAGCGGAGTCTGGAAGAGCGAAGCCTCTGCCCCATTCTTTGGAGTTGACATGTCTCAATGGGTAGAAGTCTTCAGGTCCACGATACCCAGACTTAATTCGCTGCCATTTTTGAGTGGTGAACATGATTGTGGCGAGCAAGTGAGATCGAATGCTGTGAGCAACCCAATGACAAACTCAAAGCTTGTTTGTGACACGAATGAGCGGAATGTCCTTGCGTCATACATTTATCATATCACTTGTTCTAATATGGAAGCTTGCGAGCAATTTGCAGCACTTTTATGTGAAGTGTCATTGGGATGTGGCAAGAAATGAGGCGGGTCGGAATCGATTATTTATACGCCCCCCGGCAGCGCTCCAGTTAAATGGACCCTAGTTGACTGCCGCAGCTTCCAAAATGAAACAAGTGTTGGTTGTATTTAAGCCGAATTCTCAGCAATAGAATAGCCGAAAGTGAAACAGAAAATGGAAAAGCCTGTATTCACATATCAAAACGCTGCTTTCTTGTCCCATTCTGCCCTCCCCCAACCCATTTACGCACCTCATCAATGAGTGTACTTGTACTTGGAACGAAGAAGCTCTAACACTTGGTGATGGTAATGCGGACAGACTGTGCTGGTCGACAGCCGCAATGGTCTACAAGCCATACCTGAAGATCGGCTGCATGGCCTAGATCGCTGGCAAACTGATGGCAATTACCGATATTATTGATCAGGAGAGGGCATTGTTGGATGGCCCTTGCAGTGAAGTCAGTCGACAGGGGAAGCCAATAAATGTGTGCAACCTACCGACTTCAAGATTCAAATCCCACATGGTGTTCGTCATAAGTTTGTAAAAGCTGCTTGGGTAAAGGAGAAAAATCGTGAGGAAATGGGAAGCCACCCATTGAAGCCCGTACAAAGAGAGCCAAAATGATAAATTCGATCGCTATAAAGTCATGAAGACCAAGAAAATTCGAAACAAAATCAAGCACAGGTTGTCAAAACTGAAGAAGAAAGCCAGCATGAAATAATAAATGTCCATTGTTTAAACAAAATAAGAAAATTTATACAGAAAGAAAAATGTTTCAGAGACCCAGGTTCAAATCCTGCCATGACAGAGAGTGGAATTTGAATTCAATACAATATCTAGAATTAAGAATCTAATAATGATCATAGCCATCTGCCGCTCATGAGAAAAATCTACTAATTCCCTTCAGGTAAGGACAGACCCAGCATAGGTGGTGGTACAATGGTATACAGTCAAGAGGAAGTTGCCATTGGAGTCCTCAGCATTGGCTCCATTTAGTCTTATAGTATCAGGTTTAACATGAGCAAGGAAATGTCCTGCTGATTGCCTCTTACTGTCCTCCCTCAGCTGATGAATCTGTACTCACCATGTTGAACAACACTTGGAGGAAGTACTGAGGGTGGCAATGGCACAAACTTTACTCTGGGTTCAGACTTAAATGCTCACCACCAAGAGTGGCTGGACAGCAGTGCCACTGATTGGGCTAGTTAGGTTGTAAATGACATAGTGCCATACTGGGTCTCTGGCAGATGGTGTGGGAGCCAACAAGAAAAAACATACACAACCTTATCCTCTGCAGTCTGTCGACTGCAGATGCATCTGTCCATTGCAGTATTGGTAAGAGTGACCACTGCACAGTCTTAGTGCAGACCAAGTCCCACCTTCACATTGAGAATACCCTCCAGCGTGTTATGTGGCACTATCACTGTGCTAAATGGAACAGACTTTGAACAGATCTAGCATCTCAAGACTGGGTGCTGTGAGCCATCAACAGCCTCAGAATTGTACACCCAACACCTTCTGCAACCTCATGGCCCGGCATATTCCCCACTCAACCATTACCATAAGAACAAAGAGAACAAAGAACAATACAGCACAGGATCAGGCCCTTTGGCCCTCAAAGTCTGCACCGACATGTTTTGCCCTTCCATACTAAAACTGTCTTCACTTACAGGTTCTGTATCTTTTATTCCCTTCCTATTCATGTATTCGTCCAGGTGCTTCCTGAATGCTGCTATTGTGTCCGCTTCCACCACCTGCTTTAGCAGCACATTCCAGGCAATCACCACCCTTTAGTGAAAGACTTGCCTCACACATCTCTTTTAAACTCCCACCCCACCCCTCCGCACCTTGACCCTTCCACCCTGGGAAAAACACTCATACTTTCCACTCCATCCTTACCATTCACAATCTTATAAACTTCTATCAGGTCACCCTTCAACTTCCTGCATTGGGCAAGGGATCAACCCTGGTTCAATTGACAGTGCAGTAGATCATGCCATGAGCAGCACCAAACATCTAAATATGAGGTGTCAATTTGGAGAAGCTACCAAATGAGAATACTTGCATGTCAAACAGCATAAGCAGCAAGTGATGGCAGAGTTAAGCAATCCTATAACCAATGGTTCAGACCTAAGTTCTGCAGTCCTACCACATCCAGTAATGAATGGTGATGGTCAATTAAACAACTCATTGGAGGCAGAGGCTCCACAAATATACCCATTGTCAATGATGGAAGAGCCCAACACATCGGTGCAACAGATAAGGCTGAAGCTCTAGGAGTTCTCAACATTAACTCCAGACCCCACGAAGTCTCTTGACTTCAGGTTAAACATGGACAAGGAAACCTCCTGCTGATTACCATATCCCACCCTCCATCAGCTGATGAATCAGCACTTCTCCATTTGAACAACACTTAAAGGAAGCACTGAGGATGGGAAGGGCACAAAATGTACTCTGGGTGAGGGATTTCAATGTTCACCACCAAGAGTGGTTCAGCAGCACTACTACTGATCGAGCTGGTCAGGTCATAAAGGACATAGCTGCTAGACTGGGTTTGCAGTGGTGGAACCAACAAAAGGGAAACACATACTTGACCTCATCCTTACCAATCTGCCAGCTGCAGTTGCAACTGTCCATGACAGTATCAGTAAGAGTGACCATCGCACAGTCCTTATGGAGACAAAGTCCCGCCTTTACATTGAGAATAAACTCCATTGTGTTGTGTGGCACTATCACCGTGCTAAATGGGACAGACTTTGCACAGATCTAGCAACTCAAGACTGGGCATCCATGAGGCGCTGTGGGCCATCAACAGCAGCAGAATTGTATTCCAGCACAATCTGTAACCTCATGGCCCACCATATCCCCCACTCAACCATTACCATCAAGACAGGGGATGAACCCTGGTTCAATGGAGAGTGCAGGAGGACATGCCAGGAGCAGCACCAGGCATGCCTGAAGATGAGGTATCAACCTGGTGAAGCCACCAAACAGGACTACTTGCACACCAAACAGTG